TTTCCTCTGACCGCACACTCTACCTGGAATCAACAGGTCTTATCTGTAAGTAGCATCCCTTAAAATGAAGGAAACTGTGGTCTCTCATAGAAGAAAAAAAGAGATAATAATGGGATTCCAGTTTGTATAAGAGCAAAGGCAATGAGTTCACAGTTTGATTTCCTTAATTCTTGGCCCAGGATTGTATATGAAGTCAAATTGAGGGAATGTTGCAGAAGTGGAAGAGGAGATTCTTACAGTGAAAACCTTCCCATAATCAGCACTCTCTTCATCATTGACAGTGAACTGCCAGTGCGGCACGTACATCCCGTAGATTACAGCCAAGTAAACAACCAGAATGCATGCTCCCACCAGCCTGCAAATTTTAGCACAGAGTAGTCATTGGAGATTTGGTCAAGAAACTTAATGAAAATTACTCATTAGTCACAGAAACATAAACTTACCATTGCGAGCCATATAGCCTGAAAATGGAGAGCCGGCCAGGTGGTAGATCCTTGGTGTGGTCTTTTTTTGTAAAGATTTCCATCAGTGCCATAACTAAGTAAGCAAAAGCAATTCTCTGAAAAAGAAAAATCAAAGTTCTTGTATAAGAATATTTCCTGCAAACTAAATTATAAGCACCAAAACGAACACTACCTGAAGAATCCCACACCATCTTATCTTCTTCATATCAACTCCATAACTTAGCTTGTCAGGAGCATGGGAGAAGCCCCCTGCATGATGATAATCAAAGTACCGTCAAGCGATAGAATCACCATGGCAAGTTGCTGGCGAGCATCATAAACATTTAAGCATGAAACACAGCTTGCAGGCAGGATATGTGCCTAGCAGAACAAACCTTGTAACATGATACCCCATAAGAGTAGTTTCAAAGTTCTGACAATCGTCTTCTTGATAGCATGATCCCGGCTTGTAATTCCCTACGTTAATCAAATAACACTTATGAGCAAAAACCTGAAAATGCATGTATCCTTTTTCCTTATCAGTTACTGGATTTGTAAAAATGGTAGACCAACCTTAAAAGTAAGAGGAATGGCCATTCCTACTATGAACAGAAAGAATGGCATGACAAAGTCTGCAAGGTTGCTACCATGCCATGCTGCATGTCCCATCTTAGGCCATTCTCCTCCAGCATCATCAACCAAAATCATTAACTACAATGATCCCATCAAAAGACACAAATTTAGTATCATAATAATAAATGATTAAGGTTTCATAAAAAAATTTTAGAAGGATGCCTCGACAAAGTACAAAAAAATTAAGGGGGGAATTGATGAGACAAAAGGTTTAAGGACTAAAGTGGGAAGTGAGAGAACTTAGTAGGGCAATTGCTTTTTATAAAAAACTAAACTGTAAAAGGGCCCAACCGGGATCGAACCGGTGACCTCTTGATCTGCAGTCAAATGCTCTACCACTGAGCTATGGACCCAATCGTACTATTTCGCAAGTCATAGATTATAAATATAAAATCCAACCCTCGATTTTAAAGAAAACCCCACTCCCCAAAAACCCAAACGATGAAGTGAAGCACAAAAACTGGGTGCTTCATATAGAACAACAGCTGATTTCATCAAACTTCAAAACAGAGACAGTATATATCTTTTGAGAGAGACATAGATACATACAGCAACAGTGAGGCCTCTGAAGATGTCTAATGAAGCTACACGCCTTTCTGGGTCAGGTTTTTGGGCTGAAAAATGGGTTCCGTCAGCTATTGGCAGCCGTTTGGCGTAAGAAATATAGGCCTTAATGTCAGCCATTTTTGGAGGGCAAGAATAGAGAAGCTGAACTCAACAAACTAGCTTGGTTGTTGATTCTGTGAAGGGGTGTCATGGGGGCTATAAATTAAGTCACTTGGGTACTGTACTTTGATGATTCTATGTGAAGGAAGCTCAACGGATGGAAGGGGTGTAGGGTAGGTAAGTGTATATGGGGAACGGACAGGTTCAGGGGAATATTTCGAAGGTAAAGAGTGGATTTCTTTGGTTTAAGATGCAGTGGTTTCTTAGTACTTCTTTGACTCCATTCGCCATCTCTTTTGTTGAGCAAGGGATTTTGCTACAGTTTCACTCGAATCTGACTTGAAACGACTTCAATGGAAGAGAAATTTTTTGACCCGATTAGGTTTTAAGTAAAATACGAAGACAAAAGGCCAGGTTTCACAGAGAATATCAATACTGGTCTACCTCACCCGAACCCTAGATTCTGCACGCAAAGATGAGGCTAGTTATGGGCTTAGCTAGTTTGTGATACAGATTTCTTTTTGATTTGGTATCACATGTTTAAGAGACTCTATGTTGTGTTCGAATCATTTGTAATCTTGAGACATCTAATAACCAATTCGTCATCCCAACCTTGAGCTTGGGCATGGATATCTTCTGATTTTTTTGTTGGCAACAGCCTCTGTCGCCGGAAAATGATCTTGGATAATGGAAGACAATTTTAAATCTTGTTACGGGAACACAAGGACTCGACTGCATTCCTTAACAATCAAAAGAAAATCGAATGAGAAACTTGGCTTAAATTTACAATTCAAAACCTGATCCTAAACATATTTTAGTTTGAAATTGTTTTGACAATGAGCTTGCTGAATCCCAGTGATTCAGCAGGTTAATACGTGACCCGATTGATAAATGCATCTTTCGCTCCAAAGAGTAACCCGCCTCATAATTTAGATTCGCATCCCGATCAGTCACTCAATGGCCTAAGTTTTGTAGTAATCATGACCTTCACTCCCCAACTGCCCATGGAGAAAAGGCCATTTTTCCTGCTAGAAGCCAACAACAAAGTGAAACTTCCTGGACGATTGGTGTGGATAAATGTTAGAAAGTTTGTTAAAGAGTCACTAGTCTCTTGCAATATAAGCTTCATAGGAAACTGCGAAGACAGCAAATGAATGTTATTGCGTATGAAAAGCAGAGCAGAGTTCCAGTAACCAAACTCTTGAATCCACAAGTAACTAGGGCAATTACCGTACGTGACACATCATAAAGAGAGTACCTATCTTGCCACCACTCATGCCTTTGATACTTCTATCGCCTACAATGCCGGCAATGTCCCCCATTTGCCTCCCACCAGCACTTCCCTCCTTACCATCTTCCCCTTCCATGTCCAACCCCAGACAAGTGGTTTTCTCTGAACAAGTAAAGACTTAACGATGACGATATTGATAATTCAAAGACGTGCATGCAACTTGCCAATGAATGAAATAAGCATTATTCTCCTTGGGATTTTATAGATTTTAGAATCAATGGATGTAACACAAGCGAAATCCTTAGGTACAGGCAACACTGGACACAATGTGGGCAGAGTTCCGCCAAATTACTTCCCTGTGCCAGAAAAATTCATGTCAGGATCAAGGCTTGATCAAGAAAAAAAGTAATAATATATTTTCATGCTTCGGTATCCGTTGTGAGTGATGGGTGATATGATAAAAGAAGCTAAAGATGTTGCTGCAAAAACTAATAGTGTCTCTTAGGTGCTTCACGAGGACGCTCGGCAGCAGGAACGCACTTTTTCAAAGTTGGATGGACGATAGTCCTTGTTTGGTTGTTGAGAAATGCAAGAAAGGAAAATAGAGTTCTCCGGCATTAACTATTTATATTTGTTTTTTAAGAAGTATTTTAAAAAAAATTTGATTTTTTATTTTTTTATTTTAAATTAATATTTTTAGTGTTTTAATATTATTTTGACGTGTTGGTGTTAAAAATAATTTTTAAAAAATAAAAAATATTATTTTAATATGTTTTTAAATTAAAAAAACTTTAAAAAATAATTAATATAAAAATAACTAAAAAATACTCAAAAGACATCCTCTAAACCGATTCAAAAAAAGTGCGAAAACAAGAATATGATGGCTAGTTGAGACACAAGCCGAGATAAAAGAGTGGTGGTCTTTTGTGGTAAATCAACGATGTTATTTATTTCTTCTTCTTCTTCTAATAAGATCAATTTGAAACAAAATTCAACCCCAACTAAATTTTGAGTCAGTGAGTTAATGGATTGACCCATCACTTAGAGCCTTGTTAGTTTTGATACATTCATTTAAAGATTTTTTCTCCCTTAATGTTTGCCTCATCTTAAAATTCAAATTTAATATAATAAGGCTTCAAAATATTATTTTTTGCAATTATTTTGCATGCATGTATATTAAAGAAAATACCAATGAAGCTATTTTATTTGGAGAAAAAAATGTATTATTTTGAAAGGTTGTTATTATAGACCTTATTAGAATAGAAAAAAATGCCAATATTATTTTGCTATTATCTATTAAGGGTGAGCTAGTTCCTATACATTATCAAGTGATTACAACAACTGTAGATTTCCGTCTTAGATAATTATTCTATTTAATTTAATAAGATGGTAGTTTTCTCAAGCATCCGTTGTCGTCCAGCGGTTAGGATATCTGGCTTTCACCCAGGAGACCCGGGTTCGATTCCCGGCAACGGAACTTTTTTATCCCAGCATTCATATCCTACACAGGCTACTGCCCAAAGGCAACCCAGGCTCTCACGTGAGGGGGTTCCATTAGCTTCCCGCCATTGAGCCGAAATCGAGGAGGGTCTACGACTGCATGGTTCCGATTATATGGAAACATCGCTGCAAGATTTTTGTGGGTGATGGGACACGATTGGCTGCTCACGCAATCAAACCTATAATCAATAGATCAAGGGGCCATCAGGAGACCAACTCAGTATTTTAACGAGACATTGTCCCCCGACTCCAAAAAAGCCCAAGCCTTTGTTGAGCACCTTCACTGTCAAGTCTGATTTCCACCATAAGTGCGAACGGATGCATGCACTGATAAATGATGTCCACCAGAGCTTGCTTACTGTAGCCGGCAAACTGGCACATCCACAAGAACCGCCACCTCTAGCATCTTAGATGCCCGCCCAGCTGGTTTCAGTCATTGATTCCCATTTCATAGTGACTCTTCTATTAAATAATTTGGCATGATTTTCCATTTCCAACAGCACACGAAATTAGAAACTTCCCAAGAATTTTCACAGCACATCACAAGAATGATTATTAACAAGAGTACCCTACACAAAATTTATATCAATTGTACAGTATACACACCAAAAATTAGAAGATCTCTAACAGTGGAGATCGCGTGTTCAAACCTGGTGAAATAACTATAATCAAGATATCAAACAACCCTCAAAAGAAAACATAGGCTCAAGATTAAAAAAAAATAAAAAAAATGGAGTGGTATATTGGGATCTCACTATCTCGGCTTTACAGATCAAGCAATACAGGTGTACACTTCTGGCATGGTATTAGTCACTTGTCAATTCCAAGTTCCTTCTGGATATCTCTTGTCAGGCTAAATTGTAGAGTATTATGCCATGGAAATAAGGTGCGAGTAACTGGAAGTTTTCTTCGCAGATCCTGCAACATGTCATAAGGAAATGATTATGTCTACAGTTTAGGAGGCATAATAATACAATGAAAGAAGACATACAGTTGGTGAAGGGAATGATTATGTGTACCACCACCTCAGATTTCCTACCAAACCATTGCATTTCACAAAAAGGAAAAGCTATATGCCTTGGGTTCAGTAACTAGAGAGTACGTCTTCTACAGTGAAGTCCAATATAGAACAAAAGGCCAAACAAAATTCTCTTCACTAGATGCGGAAAAAACAAAATTTTGAACGAGTATAATCCAGCAAGGTATACCTTGAATGTGGTATCTGGCAAATTTGAATAGGACGCCTGTCAAATAATGATGGTGAATAATGAAGCCTTAAAATCCAAGCATTTAAATGAAAAAGGAGATGCAATGAAAACCTCAAGAGCTTCCAAGTACTGTGCCTCATGATGACGCATAATGTTGGCTATGGAAATAGCACAATCCTCAGGGGCCTGAAACAAAAGATTATAAAGGATCAACCATTTTTTTCTTCTATTCATCAGCAAGTGAAGAGCATACACAGATATTCATGACGACGAGAACAAGCAGGTGTTCCACTCCCTTAATATGATTCTAATATACAATCTAGTACTAGAACTGTGCTTGAAGTAATATTATAGGAACTTGTTATTTCACAGCTGCTAGGTGTATTCTAGTGAGAATTTTTTTAACCACTTCAGTAGAAAGCTGCAAAAAACAGAGAGCAAGCTCCGACATCTGAACAGTGAAGATCACTAGAAAATGCTCGATCATTCTACTAATCTTTAACGTTTGGAAGAAGGCATAAGGTGGGCTTAAAGGCTGCACTTCTGAAACCAAGCGCTGGTTTTATCCTGGAATATTTGCAATAGAATCTGGGAAGTGGCAAGTGTTGCTTTCAAGGTCAATCAATACAAACAACCAGACTGGATGCACAAGTCACCCAAATAATCAACGTTCCCCATGCCAAACCAAGTAAATCTAAGCAGTAAGTTCTTGGTGTAATGTCCCAGCCTTATACCTTACATGCCTTCTCATTTAAGTAATTGGTCAACTGCTGCATTGTTCTGATTACCAGGTCAAGGTTCCAATTGAGTGGTGTCATGTGAAGGAGAATATACAGATGGTCTTGCCCTTCAGGATGTACTAGCTACTCTCCAGACTCAATATGTGCAACCTTGAGATTGCATGCTCAAGACTTTGCACCAAGCAATGCCCTACCGATCTTATGTCTTCAAAGAAAGAAGTTGAATTTTCATGATGAAGAAATTCCAAGCTAAAAGACTTGCAGCTACCGTACTAACCTGAAAGATTGTTGCATCTTTGCATTCATGTTTTGCATCCAGCTGAACATTTCCCTCTTCAAAATAATGGGCACCCACCTGAATAGGAAAACCAACTTAGCGCTGCCCCACTCAAACTATCGATGGACCTCAAATTTTCACCCAAGATAAAACAGTATGTCATTAGACCCCACGAAAAAATATAGGGAAAAAGAAACAGCTTATTCTTGCATTTTCTTACAAGTAAGCATTTCGACTTTCATACAACAGTCTACAGAAGTCAATTTTTTTATCAGACCTGTAATTCACCTCCTACTTCTAGCATTTGTACATCTTCCTTGAACTCTATGCTCCACAGTGATCGCCAACTTCCATTGCTGTGAGATATGCAAAAGAACATTAACAAATGATATGCCATCATAAAATGTAGATGCTACTGCTTGGAAGTGACTTGGTATGTGCAGCTACAAGCAAGTGATGGGACATTGTAAACATGTCCTAGATGAAGCTTCCAATAAATAAAAACCAAAAAGTGATAAGAATTCCACGCAACAGAAATTCTGTGGGCTATTTCTAACAGCAGAAATGACCACTACAAACTCAAAATTAGATCCCGGCCCCTCCACGTCCTTCCCTTTAACACAGTAGACAGAACATATACCTTTTGGATAAGCTTCCGCAACATATTTGAGTATTTCGGCATCCAGAGCACAACTAACAGAGAACAGAATAGCATTGGTGACGCCAGAATTTGTAGAATACTGCAAAAGAGACAGAAGAAAAGAACTACTCTTGGTGTGTTCTGAGCCATAATTCCAGTCATGAACTACCAAATTGTACACAATTCTTTTGGCATTTAGATGTATATACAAGGAGAAATTACAAATTAATCCAATGATTAACAATCCAAACTCAACCAAACATGCACAGAAGAAAAGATAATTTATGCAGAAAACTTTACTAGAGATACAATTATTCCAAACTCCAAAAACAAACAAAAGGGACTCTATATAAATGATAGAGGAGCATAAAAAACAACAAAGAGAGATTTTGATATAACTCAAAAGATCAGTCCTCAAAAAGCATTTAGCTCATTCATTCATAAGCATCACTGAGTGTAGTAACAGATTAAGGGTACAGGATAATTTGATGACTACTGGCTCAAGCAGTTAAGCGTTCCAAACATTAAATGATAAAAGCATAAAGCAGGACTAGTTCATATCCCATCAAAAGTACCTCTCTAAGTCTACCCTTCATTATACGAAGAATTCTAACTTCTAAAAGATCCTGGTCAGTGGTGACACTATCAAGCCAGCACAATGTAACAGGAAAAGAGTAATAGAAAATTGCAGCCTCGAAAGTTGAAACTTTAAAAATTGAAACATAGGCAGGGAATAACTGAGAAAATGTCGTTTACCCTGACAGATTTAAAATCAAGCTTTTAAAGATCTAGCATTGATGCAATAATGACTAAAAGAGCATCTAGATGATCAAAATCATTTAGTAATAACCATGAAAATTAGAGAGCATACCGAAATTCTTCAATATACGGTGATGAAAGTTCCTCATCAGCTGTGGGCCTCATATCTGTACAAACCTGAACGAATTTAGCACATCATTATATAAAAATGGACTACCAAACACATCAGAAAAAAGACAGCAGACAAAATATGTGCTTCAACATTTTTAGATAACCCACTTGCTTAACATGGTCAACTATCGCAACCTGTGCAGTCCTAGGATCAAGAAACTCATCCTCGTCAAGCTCATTATATGATGTAACCAAAACCTGTAAACACAATTTAAAAAACATGAGTCAACTAACTGCATACAAAATAAACAAGTTTTACAAATAAAACACATCTAGAATCACAATTAAACCCTAAAATACAGTCTAAAACCAAATAATTTCAAAGTTTAATCCTCCAAATAAATAAACAAGTCTCTGCCACACAACGTAACATGTAGTATAGCTAATGAGCCCTCCAAATTTTAAAACAGTAATTAGCAACAAAATATCCAAATGTAAGCTAAATGAAACCTCCAATTACATATTAAGCTCAAAATCAGCAAGTCAAAACCTAGCAAATCTAGGATAAGTAAAAAAGAAATTAGCACAAAATCAAAGTGATAGCAAAATAAGGAAAGAAAAATAATTACAAGGCTTCTATTTATTCATCTATTAGCTAATTGAAGGCAAATCAAGTAATTAATTAAAAATCATAAAAATCAATCAACAAAACTAACAGCCTAAAAAGGAACAAAAATCTCTAATACACTATTATTTCTTTAAAACACACACATTACACTGCAATAAAGAAAAAAAAAATAGAGAGACTTACTTCTCCGCTTCGATCAGGTAATTCAAGGCAAATGAAGTGAGATTTATTGTAAAGAGCAAATGCCTCTAATGCAGCTTCATTATACACTTTATCGTCATTCAATACCGACCTCAAATCTGCGAAATACAAAATCTTAATAAACACGCAGCAGAGAAGGCTAAAGAAATTAGAAAACAAAACGGAGACGCAATGCAAATATGAGAGACCTTTCGCGATGTATTGGATTTCACCGGCTGGGGAGTTGAGGAGAAACCATTTAGCGATCTCTCTCTTTCGCTTCTCGTTTAATTCGCAGTCCCCCTCTGCCATTTTTTGGCCCTGTCTTCTTTTGTGTCGCTTGTTTTTTTAAAATGAATTGGAGAGAGGAGTGATCTGGGAAAGGCGAGAGGGAAACCATTTTTGGATCAGTGGGATCGGGATATTTTTTAATGTGATCGTGACCGTTCAATTGTAATTTTACCTTTTTGCCGTTGTAAATGCCTCAGTTTTAAGGTACGGCATGGAGATTCTTTTATAAAAGGACGAAAGAGACGGTAACCGATTGTGTAACATTAATTAAACGGTGTCGTTGTTTGCAAAGGCTCTCCCATGTGCATGCTAGGCTAGACTGCTTTTACGGCCCAGCCCGTTTATTTTGAACCATTAGAGCCAGGAGCCACAACATGGGTTTATAACCCATAAACCAGCTTTTTTTTTTCAAGTTTAAAGTATTTTTTATTTAAAAATATATAAAATTATTTTTTTATTTTTAAAAAATTATTTTTTATATTAGCAAAACATTAAAAAAAATTGTCCAAAAAAACACAGGCTAAATATGCTTCTTCTTTTTTTTATAAAAAAAATTGTCCAAAAAAACACAGGCTTCTTCTTTTTTTTTTTAATTAATACCTTTTCAATTAATTTTCAATAATTTTTACATCCTGATTAAAAATATCGAAAATCACCTAGGAAAATTATAGACAAAAAAAATCCCAACAACAATATTTTAAAACAGATAGCATGACATCCATTATTTCGAAATATCACATTACTTCGAATTAAAATCACATAACTGTTCTTCTATTTTTTTTGCCTTGAAATTCATTTTTCATTTCTTGAAACAAGAGCTTATTATTACAGGTTAAGGTATTACATTGACAGTTGATGTTGAATTTTGTTAAAGTTCTCTTTATAGCAACCAAATCAGTATTGCATCAAAATCTACCAGAGTATTACTAGCAGGCGTTCCATTGCCCCAGTAAGTTAGCTTCCAAAAACTGTTTCCATGCCCTCACTGGGCCTACATCTCTAATACTAGCAGTATGTTCCCTTGCCCTAAAGTTCATGAACAAGCCTCTGGCTGCAAAACCCAGCAGCTCAGTTGAGTCCATGTAGCCACGCATCCTTGAAATGATTATACTGTCATAAGAGAATCCAATTCTGAAGTACCGATCCGAAGAAAGGAGCTCCTGTGAAGGTCGGGGTTCACATGGTAAATCTCTTTCTTCGGTGGACACATGGCTTCCCGCGCCAAATGAACCCCAGTCAACCTGCTGCAACATATCAGCTGCCCTCTCTGTGATTCCAGCAGCAGCTTGTTGAAACTCGACTGATTGTTCCAATGCTAATTTTTCAACTTGGACTTTTAGTTGTTGCAATCGCTGACCAATTCTTGACGCCACGGCATCATACATTTTTCCTCTTGATATGTTTTCATCACCTTCCGCACCAAGTATATCGTCAAAATGGATTGGATCACCAAGAAGCACTGTCACCTGCATGTTCCATGGACATCATTTGAAAAAAAACAATGAGCACGATACAAGTATGAAATAACTAAACACATTAGAACAGGAAACCCAAGCTATGAAAAGGTCACAACCTATAAAAGGTACACGGGAAGTTACAAACAAATGCATTATTAATTTTGAAGGTGTGTGATGTGTACATGGACATGTCAGTCAAATTCTAGGCTGCTGTTGACTTGAAGGAATCTTTAGTTTGCAGAGTCCTGTTCTGAGATTTAATCAGAAAGGAAGTAGAAGTTGCAAAGATATGCATACGAATACATCTGCATTTATACACTCTTGAAGGAAGTGAACGAAAAGGAAGCTTCAACTATACCAGTAGCTTATTAGAAGAAAATCAGATATTGTAAATGCTTAATCAAATAATTAGAAACAGTAAGAACATCTTATATTTACCAGAACAAAAACAATCATACTACGTACCCTCTTTCCAATCCTTGGGAGAGTGGCTCCCATGGGCATGATCTCTTGCATCCCAGTGTGTACAAATGGGATGACCAAAGGAACAGTGTCAGCATCAAGGATCAACCTGTTAAGGCATGAAATCAGCTATTTCAAACAGCACAGCCAATCAAAAAACACAAATGTTTAGATGCATATACGCACATATCCTAAAAATCATCTAGCTAGTCAAGGCTTGGAAAAACTCAATGCAAAACAAAGTGAGAGGATAGGGTAAGAGAAGTGAATAGTATAAAGCATCCTCTTCAATTCCCTTCCCCTGCTAAAAGACCTAAAAGACCATTTCATCTTTTCCTCAAGTTCTTGTTTATCAAAATTATAAAAGTGGATCCTCTTCCATGCCTTCCACACAACTAAAACAAAACCCAAAAAGATTTAAATGGTACGGAAGGCACTCTTACCTCCCCACACCTCTCTTTGAAGAACCCATGGTTTTTCCACCATCCCGAGAACGACTACCTTCTGGGAATATGTGAACCCAACTACCACTGTTCAACTTTGCGATGGCCATGTCCATGCCCTACAGCAAGATGATAAGAATAGCATATTATAGGGGGGAAAATACTTTGAAAACAAACATGCAAAAAGGCTAGGCATGCTGGGTGTGAAACTGACTACTCAAAATAGTCATCAACCTCCAAGCATGTCCACTTATAATCAAACTTTCCTTCTATTTTTTTGATAAGCCATTTTTAACAGCCTCAAAACCAAATAATAGAAACTTCAGCTCAAGGTAAAATAGCCATCGACATCACTAACTATGAGGACTGAACAGCAATGCAGCAAAGCTGTCAAACATCAAAATTAGGCTCCACAGCACAATAATGCGAATTAAACAAAAAGTTGGCAAGAGACAGGGATGGGGAAGAGGAGAAGACCTATTATCTTGGATGGCACCTATTATCTTATAATCTAATTTGGTCAAAATAACACAGAAGGAGCAAAAAAACTAAAAACAAGCAGCAAGCAAAAGATCCAATGCTTAAAAGCAATCAGACAAGTTGCATCAAGCAGAGATACTACATGCTTAGACAGCTAGCTCAATAACATGTCAGGTATTCAACAACTGATCATCAAGTACTTCTAACACCCCATTTAAACCAATACATCACTTGACAAACAAAAAGAAACACTTTAAAAGCTCACCTTCTGATAAATCCCTTCACCACGAGCAACTGGCAATACTTTGACAGATTGGAAAAATGCAGAACTCACAGGATTCTTAAAACAGCGATCAGAAGCACAAAGCGTCCATCTCAAGTTCTGAGCATCCATCAATACACTAGGAGGAAGCAGTGAAGCAATAATAAACGGGTCATCCACTGAAGCAACATGATTGCTCACCTGCAACAGACCATTATCCTCAACAATTACCTCATCACCACAAACCCAAAACAATTCCTCAAAATAAATCCCAAAACTGCAAAGAGTAAGCCAATAGAAAAACAAAAAACACAGGCATTATTGTTCCAAAGCCCACAAAGTAGAACGACCAAGCTATACCGTTAAAAGAGGCTTGTTCTTGGGTCTATGCAGCAATGCATCATGTAATTTCTCCACACCATAAACCTGCGATACCCCAAAAACCCAAATTAGTAATTCTCGCAGAACCTCAGTCCTCAAAGCCAAAGATTACAAAAACAGTTCAGTCACGAACAAAGCAATTCCTCCTACCTGAACACGATTAAGTCCGTGCATAAACACATGACACATGTTTCCAAGCAGAGGCACAGCCACTGACTGAACCATTCGTATAATAACCGATTCTTCATCAGCATTAAAGTCCTTGCTGACTGCACCCACAGAATTCAGAGGTAATTCAGTAAATACGCGTCAATCTATGGGCGAATGTTGGTAATTAAGTATGTATATGCACGTACATAAATACATACATACATCCATCTCATGTATGTACGTATTTTATTTCTTTATGGATGCATATAATGTAACAACGACACGTGTCAATGTGTATGTATGTATGTATGCATGTGAAGAGTTTAAACATACGGTGAGGTGCATGTATGGATGGATAGATGAAGTAGCGGAAAGAAGGTGACCTCGTTTGCGATAGAAAGCGGAGGGGGAGTGGAGAGAATCTCGCCGAAAATCACGGAAATGGTTGAGCCACCGTTGGACGGTGGAAGAGAAGTAACCATCGGACGCGGCGGAGAAAATATGAGGACGGCGGCGATGACGATCAACCACCACTCTAAAGCGGTCTCGCAGACGGAGCTGTAGTGCTTTAGCTTTGCTCTTCCATAGATCTCCTCTTCCTAGCTCTATCCTCTGCACTGCCATTTTCACTTCATAAAGAGAGATCTCTTGCTCTTTTATTGTTTTGAGAAATAAATTTTTATTTTTATTTTTATTTTGAAAGCAGAAGCGTGAGTGTAGAGAAGGAAGGGTTTGAGTTGATTAGTATTGGAGGTGAGACTTTGGGGGTTGGTTCTATCGAACGCATAAGGGAGGTTGTGCGTAGGTTAAGAGATGGCTTTTGCGTTTGGAGGGTCAAGGCATGGGTTGAAACTGATCCTGACTTATTTTAAACCCGAGTTAATTTATTTTATTTAATTTTATAAAAAATTAAATATAATGTTCTTTCAAAAATAAAAAAGTTTATAATCAAGTTATGGATAAGCTTGACTTTTTAATTGTATCATATCAATTTAATTTTTTATTTTTATTAAAACTTTATATAATAAAAATCTAAATCATGGATCAATCAACTTATGGATCAATAAACTTGTCTTATCGAGTTTGCTTGATCCAAACCCATGGATCAATTTATCTATAGTCGAGTTGAGATTTATGGTATTGAAGGTCGTTAATGGGTCCATGATGGAACGTGGCATGGAACTGAGGGACCAGGTTCCTGATATTTGAGTCGCAATTTTTTATTGATGAGCTCGTGTAAATTCAGAACAATAAGAAAAAAAGAATGGGTCGTTTCATTTTTTAGCTACTTTTGGGTCAATTTTGGCTTCTAAACCAATTTCATTCCAAGTAACTCATATATATATAACTTAAATCTAAAATAAATTATATATGTTCTTCAATTAATACTAGAAAGACTCAAATTTCAGTAAATACTTCGTTCTTTAGGATTCTTAATAGGCCATCATGATAACTCACATGAACAATTAAAATAAAAACTTTAAAATCCAGTAGTATATCTTCTTTTGCCAATATTAAATGCTTTAGACTAGCGATGGAGGGGTGCGCCAGGCCAACGCTATAGTGCAACGTGAAGGCGACGCCCGAGAGCCCCAGTAGCAAGCTACTGTAGCGGACCCTCCCCCTTAAAAAATTAATTTAATATCGTGTGGGCCATTGGCCCACGTATCAGATATTAAACTGATAAGAACAGATACTACACTTGATCTTAGCCAAAAGGCCGAGAAAGGTATAAATTGCTCAGTGGCCCGCTTCTCTTTTTATAGTCTGCTTCCATACGTGATGTCTCATTACTTACCGATGTGGGATTACAGGATGTGAAGACACTGGTTTCTCAAAATCAAAAACCAAGGACGGATGTGCTTTGCTTTGGCATAGATTCCACGGGGGGTCATCTGCTCACTGCAGTTGCTAGGACTCCGCGAAGAAGATGCTGCCAGTCCTAGGGTGAAATAGGTTGGAGAAGCTCATGGTGGTACAGGAAAAACTCAAATGGTTCCTAGGGTTCTTGGTTAGTGATGATACATGTTTAGCATAACTCAATAATAATGAAATTTTGTTGATGTTCACCATCGTTGGGCATGATGGAGGACATTTCCACTGTTGGTGGAGAGTTACAACCATTGAGATATGAGACATTCTTTCTTGCATAGATAGCGTGTGCTCTGGCTCCTTGGCTCCTTCTGTAAATTGCGGGTTGTCTTTTGCATCCTTTTGTCACTGACTAAAACTAGAGAGGAGAATCATCACTTCCATAGAAGCAAATATAAAGCTTTTAAGACTAGCTAGAGTACCCTTGTTACGCTTTGGGTATTTGAACTGGATCTTGATTTACTTTTCAAAGCACGAGAAGAAAGAGCCGACATTTTGGAAGCATTTTCAGTTTTCCATTATTATGAAATTTTTTAATTAAAAATTGAAAAATACTCTCTATACTTGATGAAATAAATTGAAAAATATATGAATTATAAGAGTTGTTAATGTTAACTATGGATTAAACTGGAAAACTTGAATCTTCTTTCTTCTTCATGGGGATGATGGGTTGATAATTAAGTTCTTCTGGGATTTTATTATTGATAATTTTCGTCCTATCTTGATTTCCTTTGTTCCAGACCTGAATGATCTCTAATACACAATTAGCAAACCCTGACACCTGAATGAATAGAAGTGGACTTTGTTGCTAGAAAATATGTTTTCAAATCTCCTACATAAATATAATCCTTTTCATACACCAACAATACACACTGATAAAACTTGTGCTATGGGTGCTATGGAGATGCTGATAGCAAAATTTATCTGCAATAAGTGCTTCGAAGAAGTTTCTATCACATTCATGTAAAACCAATGTAGAAGTTCGTCTTCGTGCATCCTAGTCATCAGAGGGTCGAGTTGAAATAGAATTTGAGCTGTGAGCATAGCCATCATGGCTTTCCAGTCTAAAGCTAATAAATGAACATGTACAGTTTTAGATGTGTAAAACCCCGCCACTAAGGTAATTGATATAAGATTGCATCTAGATTTGATTTCCATGTCAGCGCCAGAAACTTTGAGCGTTGGCCACCGTGTTTAGGGATTCATGAGTGTTGATGTCTGCAAGAATCTCAAGCATTTGTTGATAATCACATTTTGGGGGCTCCTCGCAATATCTGCCACTGGAAAAAGAGCACCTACACCTTGCACAAGCATTGGTGAGGTATGTATAGCCGAATTGGCCCAGAAAGCAACCGCATGTGATGATGTTATTTGAGAAACAAAAATGATGAAGTGCATGAAAACACGTAGTGGTATCTGACGGTGTCAGAAAACAAACATAGCAAGTGCTGCCTACCTTAAGCAGGACTTCAGTTTTCAGCATATGAAAATCTGATAGTTAGGATCTGTATTCCAACATTCAAGTAGTTTGCATCAACCACAACATGGCCTAAGTCATCTGCCAAGGAGAAACCTGTGTCAATAATCCTACTAAAACTTGTTTCAGCGACAGAAAGCAGTGACATTTGAATTTTGCAAGCTGTGAGATACAAGAAAGGAAAATGAAGCTCAAACCTTCATATATGGTCCTCGCAAAATTTACATATTCAGGTATCTGTGTATGATTCCATCAGGACGGGCATCCAGCACAACGAGGGTTCCTGTCAAATCAATATCAAATTGCAATACGCAGTACTTATGGCATGAGACCTGGCTCTTCCACTTGATTATGAGAGTGTTTGCTTACATGGTTACAAGAAAAGACACAAGAATAGATAAAATTCTGTGGCACTCTCAGAGATAATATGTTTGATAAATCAAAGAAACCAAGAACTTCATATGTTCCCGAAGGAAAAATAAACATGGAGCGAATTCCAGCCACATGTTCTACTCCCAGTGTTGCGTGTTCAGACTTCATATGACTGAAAGGATTAGCTTTCATGCTATTCACAACAATATTATTTTGTTCTCAGTATTTTATGCAGGCTCAGTATCATAAATCACACCCTACTTTTCACGAGCTCCACTGTGATTGAAAATGTTGAAGACAAGAAATAGCAGAGCTCGAGAGGTAGGATTACTGTTTATGCTTCTGGATCCAGAACCCTGTCTGTCACAGTAATAGAACATAGCAACTTGATACTCTTTGATTTGAGAAATGTACCTGGTGCCACCCAAGCTTTAATAGAACTGCTTGGCAAAGGAGCCGGCCAGAGAATGTTTAACAAATTCATAGAATCATAAGCGACAGTAGAACCTGAGAGGGAAAAAAGACGTTAGCACAAGCACTTACAAATTTGAAAATTCACAGCATCTTGTTTCTCTTTCTTTGATCATTTTCTTCACCAGGTGCAAGTTAAAAAGTCGACAAAGAACAAAAAAACACTATTCAAAACTAAGAACAAAGGAAATGAAGGGATGAAAAATTGTTATTCTGAGTTGGTTATATTTAATAGAGTAGATTTAGAAATTAAGGGGCTGAAGTTGTTGTTCCTAGCAAGTAACAGCCAGTGGACTTTTTTTCATGCAAGTTTTACCAGTTTACCTGTTTGACAATATCCCATGTTGTATGGAAATATTTCTTTATCATATGCTGGGTATTCTCTGGCATGGAACCTGCAAAATGATTAAGGAAAGGTTAATAAAACAAGCAGCAAGTCTTCGGGGAAAAAAAAAACCCTCTTTTTTTCACAGTGTTTGATGCTCATCCATTCACGAAAGTCTTCAGCTATCTTATTGAACTATTTGCACTTCCTTTACCAATTGATAAACACGCGAGTACAGTGCAGTCTCTAAATGATTCATACATGGATACATATCTGTCTGCCGCAAATAAACAAGTCTATATGGGTGTTCAAGGCCTCATGCATTGATGAACAACACAAGCTCATGCCGTCAAGATGAGAAAACCATCAACTATGTCATTGTATAACATCTTCATCTCTAAGTTTTTGTCAAGTTTAACCACACAATCATAGTTTCCAATGTCTAGTAGCAAAGCCACATCATCCCCAAGGGCACTAATGCAAACTAAATGTCACACAAGAATCCATCTAAAAAACAAATTGTAATCTCTACCACACAAAACTTACAATATACCGAGTCGTCTTGTGTCAGCAGCAATAAAAACATGACCATGAAACAGGTCAAATCCATTCAAAGACACATCAAACCCAGCGGATGGTCCTCGAGCAACAATAAGCTCAAACAAAAAATCAAGAAAAGAATTCAACTCCTGCAATTTAACAACAAAATGTTAGTGATTAACATAAAAGCTAAGAATTTTTTTTAAAAAAAAAACTAAATAGCAAAGAACCCCTTTTTAAGATGGATACAAAATCTATGAACCGTCTTCCATGTGGTGTTACAAAATCTCACTTATGAACCGTCTTCCATGTGGTGTTCTAGTAAGCTCACGTTTGTTCTCTGTGCATCCTTCAACATCAGGTAACTATATATAACAATGTGTTCCCTGTAGCAATGATCATGAGAAATAAGACAATCTAATGTCTAATGTCTAATATCTGAACCTCTAACCATGAGAAGAAGCAGTGGGCTGTTGTGCATGGGCGAGATGCATGTCATTGTATCTAGGGTATGTCTTGAACAACCTTTCGATCTAAAACAATTGTAAAATGACAAAATCTAGTTTGATTAGCTTAACAAAGAAACTGAAAAGGTTGCTTGAAAAGCTAATGGAGGAGAAACACAAAATACAATCTAGCATGACAGATTGAATCTTGAGATGATCGATAAAATTTTACAGATTTTCTATGTTGCTTGTGATAGGTAATTATTTTCGTTCATATTCGATGCTTTTCTACCCTCTAAATACGTTCTTCAGCACCGAATGCGTAGAGGTGAGATGCTTGGTGTATCCAAGATCGGCTTGTGCACCATGACAAAGCATTATCGGTTGTTCTAAAGGGCTAGGCAATTCTTTCTTTCTGTGAAGGAACTGGCATTCCCCGACCCACCTCTCTTCTCCTTCAAGAGAAGAAGGAATGATCACAATAGAAGGGCTCTACAACTTTAATGCCAACTGATTTCTCCCAATCCTCTGGGGGCATAACATCTGCCATTATCTTTTCCTGACCTTGCCAAAGAATCTGGAGACAGTAGTGGCATTGAAGAGATAAGTCAACCTGCTAGAACATCCATTTGAGCCGAACAAAACACCCCGGTGTAAAGAGAGAGAGTGCGTGCTTGGCCAGAAGTTCTGTGAGGACGTCCTTTTTTATTACTGCCTAAAAAATTAGAATTTGAATTACAAGAGGTGACCTCACAAAGTTCTAAAATCAGTCTTCGGAGAACAAAAGCAAAGAAATTAAGAAAAGACAACAAATCCTCATTCTTCAGATCCTAACTCGAATTACAAATTAACAATCATTAAGATGGCCCCCTATTTTGACTGCCGAAGAGAACTAGGAAAATGAGCATAGAATAGATAGAAAAGTACAGAAATTGCTTTTGGAATGTGATGGACATTAACATGAAATAAGAGCAAAATTGCCAAGTTGAAAAATAACCATGATCCTGCCATTCAAGCTATAAAATGGGTTTAACGAACCTCTTTGGCACGGATAAGAACATCACTAGCAGGCATCAACCCCGATGAAGGAACACGAGGCTGTTGGATCATGGCTGAAACACTTATTTTCAAATAGGAGATTGAACGATAGCATAAGAACCCTCTACAATTGCAAATTTGTCAAGCCTACTCCATCGTACCTTTTGCATGTGGCATCATGTGTCGTTTGCCCTTTGTTCCAGCAGCCAGTAGTAGACAAGCCTGGCCGCCAGCAGCTCCTACAGCAACTGTACGTTTCTGCACATGCAAAAGCAACCATGTAACAACGAAAACAAAACAGAGCACAAACAAACAATCATCTAAAATCATATTACTTGAAATAAAGAGTGTGTTTCCTGCAATGGAGCTAGCAATATCATAAAGGTATACATGCATCCTGAAGAAAATTTGTAGCAGACATGCATGCCTTCTTATAATCACATCTCTGTAAGTGGGCATATCTACCTTTAATGCTATTGCTGCTCCCCATAACTGAAAATAAGAGATGCCATAGGGCCATAGTAATTTTAGAAGAGAACCCCACCTCATTCTTTAACTGCATCATTGAATCATGGATGGCATCCAACCTGAATGGTTAGCATACAGAAAGTACATTAAAAAATAACAGTGGATGAAAAGATTGGGAGAGAAGCTTACAGGAAAACTACACCAGGAAGTAATTACAGTAAAGGGTGAGCCAACTTGAAAGATAAACATAAATATCATTATGAATGTGCAATCTATGTTATCTAGGATTCTACGTGGGTCCTAATTTGTTTCATGATGCAGAAATACCAAACTAGTGCCATGTCAAACAGCTAAAAAATTATATTATATATTACATAATTTTCTATGTTGACGAAGGATTTTCACTATACCAATAAATTAAGGCGAGGGATGCTAAGTTCTCCAAAGGTTTAGAGGAGACCAATGAACAAGAACAGTTCAAGGTTCTTGCTTTGCATGCTAAAGTGAGGGCTCAAAAAGGTAGCATTTCCCAGGATTTTTGCCTTCTTGCAAGAAAAAGTATGGCACCCCATTTCATGAATGAGGGCCATCACAACCATTTCCCACAGGAGGCCTGCTTGAGAGACCACATCCCCACTGATGCCAATTTCCCTTTCTGAAGTCAACCTTACTGCTAGATAATCAAACACTTTTGTAGAGGAACTATTCCATAACAACCTTGCTCCCCAACACAAATGGGCACTTAGCATTAGGAAATTTATTTGAATGAGTTTCCCTAACCTAGGCATTAAGACTAGCACATCAGACCGAAGAGTTAACTTCTTTACACAACCCATGACTCCAATCAGCTAATCTGACGGTAGGATTCACAACACCATTGACCCATTATTGCTCTCAGCTTTACTCGCCTACATCCAAATAGATGAGCCAGAATTAATATAAGGAAATAGAAGGAGAGAGTGAGTTGTCAAGGGCAGTTACTGCCATTGCAGCACTGCTAAAAAAGAAAACGAGTGAGATTAGAAGTAGACTGAATGATTTCTCATCCTCCATTGTTGTGTTTTTCTTGTTCTCTCACTAAATCTTCTTCATGGATGTATGATTTGTCGAACCACCTTTAACAGGCATTAATCATGAACACTCTCGATCCTCAACAAGTTGTGCCACTAGAAACATTGCTAAAGTACATAACTGGCAGAATTTCTTATCAAGATATCAAACGTAGAGTTAAGCACGCTGTAAGCAGAGATTTCATAGTAAGCAGGTTGATTGTTTTCATTTGAATATAGTCTGATTTAGATTTTAACCAGGTCAACCGATAACAAATCAACTAGGTTAAATCATGTAAACTTCCACCAAAATCTAGCCTAGTTCAGCTAGGTTTAGATCTAATAACATTGCTCGACAGTGTCTCGTTTCCTTCAGCGTAGCTTCAAGCCAATTTAGGCATGGCTTTTTCTGGCAAGCTATTATGTGGTTTTACTGTTTTAGGGTCGTGGGTTTCAAAATTAGGTTGGGCTTTTTATTTTCAATTTAATGAAAAACAAATCAGAAATAAGATTTCATAAGACGATGGCATCTTTATCGTCATATCAGCCTTCTCCCTTCAGCTTGTCACACAATCCATCAGGTCAAGGGTTTCAAAGGCTAGTGGTGTGGTGGTGGAAGCTAAATCAGTGTCATTAACCATTAGTTTTTCTGGTGATTTCTTTGAGGATTCTTTTTGGCGTTTCTTGATGCTAGATGTCCATTGTCCCTCTTCTTTTCATCTAGAAGGAACCCATTGTTAATTTTTTCTGCATGCGAGCAAATTGCTCTCAGGAGATAAAAGTTAGACTACCTACTCTCCATAGTTTAACGTCATCCGTCAGCGATGCATTCCCGATCATCTGTAAGCGATGCATTCCTCATCATCGATGCATGCCTAAGCTTCTTAAAATATGGTCTAAGAGCATCTCCAATCCAAAATGCTATTTTGAAAAGCTAAATTAATAAAATAGCATTTTGAATAGTATAAATATAACTTATCTTACTATATCTATTCCAATGGAAAAAAGTCATTTGAAGAGCCATTTATATTAGAATGAAAAAAATAAGTGTTTTATTATTTCTTAATATTGTTTAATGATATTTTTTTTCCACATGTCTACATTTAATGATCTATTTTTTTAGTGGTCCCACTTTGTTGATTTTGGCTCTTTAAAGAGATATGTAGAAATAGCATTTGTGGGAGAGAAGAGGCATTTTAGCATTTTGTTTGGCTTCTCTATTGGAATGTGCAAAACAAGCAAAAAAAAAACCAAAATATTAATTTTTTATTTTTGGCTATTCATTTTGCTTCTCCATTGGAGATGCTCTAATAGGATGATCCAATTGAATTTTATTTTGAATTGCTTTGATATTGGCTAAATTCGAATAACCTAGATATATGATTCAATTGACATTCGATTAATTCAAAACTAAAAAGTTGAAAAAAAATTAAAAAATATTTTTAAATAAAAATAATATATTCCAAATAACTCGAGAATCAGGCCTAAAACCAGTTCATATGTTTGGTTCTGCAAGCAAGAATGAAATTGCAAGTCAAAAACATAGCAGGAGAACTTAAAGAACACCTCAATATTTTGCCAGGTGATTTAGCATTTGTATCCACATGATCAATTTTATTAGTTTCCTTCACAGAAATCTGCATAAAAAGCATCTAAATCAGTACACAGACAGCTGGGTTTTCCTGCATGCAGATAGCAGATCCTATGAAGGGATGGGATCTGAAGATGATAAATAGTAAATAGACTGCCTGTATATAGAAAAGGAAGAGAAACAAAACGAGCAACTGGAAGACAAGTCCAGGAATTCACATGATAAATCATCCATTGCCATGATTGAAATAGAATCCAAAAAACAAAACTAAAACAAAATACCCAAACATGAAGTCTGGACATGCCTTTCCATATACAGATACAACGAAGTGATGGTTTCAAAAAAATAAAAAGAAAACGTTCACATTTAATATCCCAATTGTAAAAGCATCAGACATCAGACTTGTGTCTAGCTGGAAACCAATGGGGCTGATTCAGGCACTTGATCGCTAAATACCTTAGCAATCTTCTCGGTAGGCACCAGGGGCAAATACAAGGATACCTTGTATCCCTTCTCTGCAGTGCTGACTATGGTTTGATTGTACTTCTCAGAACAGAAGGCAGCAGTTGGCACAACCACCTGAGCCACTTGAGGGAAGAGTGGGAGCTGATTGAGCTTGCGCCAGGCAGAGACAGCAGCTTGTTCTGCCTTCGGTTCGTACTTGGAGTAGAGCTCCTTGGCTGTAGGCTCGTACTTGGAGTAAACAGATTTTGCCAATTCAGAAGCGGTTTCTTTCACACCAGCACGCTGAACTTCAGAAGCCACTGCTCGAGCTGCCACTGGAGCATTTTGAGCTGCCAAGAGTGCTCGGGATGACACCTGTTTGACGAGTGGGGGCACATGGTTGTCCATATTAGTGACAGATTCATCCACCTGCAACCAGGGAAGGTTTCAATTCACAACCAAATCCTCCAAAACCATACATGATTAATTAAACAAGCCTAAAATTTCAATTCCATCACCATAGGGTATATAAAGAAAAACAGACAATCAGATCATAGACTAATCCTAGCATCTTCAGATAGGCACAGCATTCTTCCTTTCAAAAAAAAAAAAAGGTCTTTATAAATGACCAATCTGGTTCCCATGCCCTCAATTACAAACAATAAGCAAAGAATCGGCTAGCCAGAAGGCAAAAAAAAAAGAATAAATTAGCTTATAGCCATGAAAAGAAAACTATTTTCCTTATCTAAATCATCATGAGCAATCAACACAGCAAAAAAAATTGGAACCAATAAGATCTAGGATTAGTACATCCTCTTCAACCTCATTGACAACACTCACCCTATCACAATTCACAACAATCTAACTTACAAAACTATTTTTATCTGAATTATAAGCAATCAACATAGCAAAACAAAATTGGAACCAATAAGACCTAGGATTAGTCCATCCTTTTCAACCTCCTCAATAACACACCCTATTACAATTCACAACAACCTCACCATGCCACTTTCATCTAAATCATAAGCAATCAACATAGCAAACGAAAATTGTAAGAAAAAAGGTATCCCGTACAGAAAAAAGAACACAAGGCCACGTACATCACCCTGCAATTGTGCGATCTTCATCATACGTGCATTAAAAAGCATATAATTTCTCATATCAAAAAACACAATAGCCCACACACCTTGCAATTGTACAATCTCTATCATCCGTGCAACATAAAGAAACTCAAAAACTCACCTTGCGATCAACAAACTTGAGAACCTCAATAGGAACATCACGAAACTTGTCATAAACAGGTCCAACAACACTCTTAACGGTCCCCTCAACAGTCTCCACACCGGGCTTCAACGGTCCAGTCTTCTCTTTAGCATAAATATAGAGGTTTGTAAACGTCAACACAGCATGTACTGCAGCCACTTGCACAAACTGCAAGTACTTCAGCCTCCTCTCCTCCTCCTCTTTATCCTTCAAAAACCCAATTTCAAAAAAAATCAAATAAAAAAGATTTTAAAAAACAATCAAACATAAAAAAAAAAAACCCAGTTCAGCAACAATACAAAAAGAAAAGGAAAAGAAAAAAATCCTTACCAGTTGCTGTTGCATGTTTACATCATTTTCAGCCATGACGACCTTGCAAAAAAAATTGATCAAAGCGGGTTCAGAAAATTATGGTTTCGAAATGGGGCGATGAATTACAAAAATATACAGGAGGAATTTTTCTATTTATAGAGGGGATTAAGGAAAGACCACGGATCTCGGTGTGAAATGGGGAGCACAGAAATCGGTGTAAATGGACGGCTACCGGGAGAGTTGGACTGGCACGTGGAGGTTTGTGATTTGGTGGAATAGCTGGCAATCAAGGGGAAGTTGACTCCTAAACTTAGTTGCTAAGTTTGCTTGCTATAATACCATGGGAAAGCAGTGATCGTACGGACACGCTTTGTCGTCGAATTTTCCAGAAAGCTTCTTAAGGTAAGCTTTTTGGTTTGCCATAAATTGATTCAATTCTTAAAAAATATCCATCAAATTGGTCGGGGGTCGTTTTCATTAATATTAAATTCGGATGTTATTTATTTGTTCGGTCTATATTATTGATAAAATTATTGTATTACATAAAACAGAGTAATTAAACTCTACGAGGAATATGATTCGATTCAAAATTTAGATTAGGTGGATTAATTTGAATTAATTTTAGGAGAATAAATATATATATATATAAATAGAAAATAGTAAAGTTTAAATACAACTATATTTTTTAATATATATTATACACACAACCGCTGTTAAAAATAGTTATTTTGCAATGATTTTTTTACTCATAAAATAATTAATCTTGTTAATAATTAATTTAAAATTTTATAAAAATATAATAATTAAAAAAAATAAGTGGTTGATGAGATAAGATGATATAATAAAAAATAAAAATAAAAATAGAGTTTTACCGGCATCGCCAGTTTACCTTCATGTCAGTTTCATCAACTCAAGTCAATCTTTTTTTAACGCTTGGTTTTCAATCCAACCACCAAGCCATATTGAAATTAATAATTATAATATAAAAAGAAAAAAAATACAATAAATTTACCTCTTTACAGATACTTCTATCTTATCTGATTTGGCAATAAGATTTTTTTTTCCCTAAATAGTCCCTTGTGGAATAAGCAAATGCATGTTACGTCAATGATAAGTCTATCTCAAACATGTATAATTTTTAAAGTGTTTAGAAATATAGTGAAAATTATATTTTTAAATAAAAAATATTTTAAACTATTACTATAACCATAATATTAAATAGAGTCTTTATCAAGCCAATGCGAAATCAAAAGTCTTTAATTCATTTAATATTTAATTATTGTGTTACTGATTTATTGTCCAATTACATAGACCGAAGACACTTTAGCATGGCAGAATTGTAATTATCAACCGAGTTCTTGCTTGGTAGATTAATCCCATAAATTCATGATTTGATTTGAAGATGGTCCAGACAAAAATTTAATTTGAATTAATTTTAAGATCGATGTAATAAAATCTAATTGATATGATACATTTATCAATAATTTAAATGAACTTAGCTAAAGGGCTAAGACTAAATATTATTAAAAATAATTAAAAATTAATTTAGATTAACTTATCATCTTATAAATTGTTATAGATATTGACCAGATTTAATGCATATTTGACACAATGATATAAAGTGTTTTTTAATAATTTTTTTTATTGAAAATATATTAAAATAATTAACTTTTTTTATATTTACACATTCAAAATCACAAAAAAAATAATAATAATAACAAGATGAAAAACAGAAGATATTTCGCGTCCGATTAGATTCCCAGGAACCATGTCAGGAACAAATCAAAGCAAGCTGTCCTGGTGGGCATATACATTGATCTGTCAACTGTCATCCCATTGAATATTGTCGCCGGCCTCACGTGTGTTGTTGTCTAGCCTGAGCAGATAGATTTATTACCGTGTGGGCTTGGAGAGGTAGCTGCAGTGGCTACCTATTTGCCATTTGCCATTTGCTATTTGCCAGTCTTTTCTTGCAATTCCATCAGAACCCACCACATGAAACAGAGACTCATGAATGTTGATGCTGGCAAACTATAGTGTTCGGTTGTTTTCCGAGACAAAATATGTATATTTATATATAATTTATATTTTAAAAATACAGGAAACTGACTCTAAAACTATTTAATAAGTAGATTTATTTTATGTTTCTATTTTTATTTTTATCTCTTTAAATAAATACATTGTTGTCTTTACTGTACTTATCTTTTATATTCTAGAACCAAACGCAACCAAATATTATCTACCATGCTAATTTTGGTAGGGCATAGCTAAAAATGTGATTATGGGAAATGTAATTATCAATAATTTGATTCTTTTTTAGGTTAGAAACAAAATTTATTATTAGTGTTTTAATGTGCTTGGTTTGTTATTTAGAATTTAACAAATTATTATTTTATTGTTAAATATTAACAAAATGATTATGTAACAAGATATTAATTTGACTTTTTTATTTTAATACATACACATGTATTATCCATGTTTAAAAATAAAATATCAAAATGAATCTAAAAGTGGAAGGAGAAGGGGTATTTAGGAAAATAATAATTGCTTGTCATCTCAATTTTATTTTTTTTACCACGGTTCTAATTTTATGGAAATTTTAATATATAAAACACATAGCAATAAAGTACAAAAATATTTAAATATATCAAATTAATTTTCCAAAAAAATCCTTAATACATTCATACCAAAAGCCCTTTAGATATTTGCATCACATCACATGTTATTATTTTCAAATTGAGTTCAATCAAAACTTAAAACAATAATTCAATTAATCCATCGAATCCTTTTTAATGCATCAACTTCATGAATGTTTTATTTAGAACCCAACCAACCAGAAAAAACTTTAATTTCAGCTCGAGTGATGGATGGGAAGACTTAATCTAGAAAAAATATTAAAAATTAAAATAATATTATTTTAATAAAAAATTTCAAAAAAAAATCAATAGGTTGTATTGTTGATACGGGAAAGAAGTTACACACAAACACTAATCTGTAACCTTTTACTAAAGTTGAAACATGAAATCCCAACAATGGAATAGCAAAATAATCATTTTAACAGAAAAAATTTAAAAAAAAATTAATAGGTTAATAGGTTAATATGGGAAAGAAATCACACACAAACACTAATCTCTAACCTTTTACTAAAGCTGAAACATGAAATCCCAACAACGGAAAAGCAAAATAATCATTTTAATAAAAAAAATCAATAGGTTAATATGGGAAAGAAATTACACACAAACACTGATCTCTAACCTTTTACTAAAGCTGAAAGATGAAATCCCAACAACGGAAAAGCAAAATAATCATTTTAATAAAAAAATTCCAAAAAAAATCAATAGGTTAATATGGGAAAGAAATTACACACAAAAACTGATCTCTAACCTTTTACTAAAGCTGAAACATGAAATCCCAACAATGGAAAGGCAAAATCCTAGGAAAGAATTTCGTGGTTTGGCAAAGGGGACCGCAGTTTGGCTCGTGGGTGATTTATGAGAGCTTAGGGTGGACGGACGGACCCATCATTAACAAACACTACCTAAAGAGATTAAAGAAAGAGAGTTAACAATATGATCCTCGACATTTAATTTCTCAGGCGACAATAGCCCAAGCTATTCAATCGATCACTTTTCACGTGAAGGGCCTTAATTTCTCATGAATTATAGACATGTATAGCCATAATACCCGATCTAAAATTAGGTTGGGGTCGGTTAAATTAACCCTACTCAATTCAATCTTTATTTATTTATATAAAAGCTCTTCAAAAGATATTGGTTTAATTAAAATATAAAGTTGTGAGTTGAATAGTCTCACCTGCTCATTCCAGGCTTTAATTTCTTTTCAAAAAGAACTTTTGAAAACATATCATTTTAGTTATAAAAAAAAAAAGTTTTTTCAATAACTTTGCACAGATCATATTTAATTTTCACTGTACTGAATCAAGTTTTTCCATATTATTTCTTGTTTTTCATACCAATAAAACTTTTGAGGAATTTCATGCTCACGCACAAGTCCCGATAGAATATTAGAATTGCTCAACAAAAAGGAACCAAGAATGAAAAAAACCCTCAATGATAATAATAATAAACAGGGCACAAATTTAGTGTGTATTTGATTTTACTTTGTGTAAGTTTTTTTAAAATGATTTTTAATTGAAAATATATTAAAATAATATTTTTTAATTTTTAATTTTAATATATTAAAATTATGCAAAAAAACTTAAGAAAGCAATTTTTAGATTGGAAAACAAAAAAACACTCACTGGTAAAAAAATCCTTAGGTATAAATTGCTACCCTGTCTAACAATTCAATGCTAATTAAGAGTTATTTATGAGAAAAGAAATTAACCAAGGGAATTAAAGAGTATGAAATTGCACATATCCAAATTTAAAATCAATCAGACTTAAACCACAGATCTTCCACCAAAATTAACAAATCTAAGAGAATAAACTGGAAAAAAAAAATCCCATTGCAAAAATTAAAGAGAACTATTTGAAGAAGAAAAAAGAATAATAGTAATACTGAACAATAATCTTTTACAAAGACATTCAAATATAGTTATGACAACAGTATTTCCATCAACAAATAACATCGGAGACCCAACACCACCAGCTCCTTTCCCTGTCTTTTCCCCTCAAGTATGACAATCAAACCCATTAAAAAATAAATAAAAAAAGGCCAAAAAATGTAAAAAAAATCAGTAAATAAATAAAATTCAACTCCTGCACCTTGTAATGCGACTGCATCCACGGCCATAAGGATTAGCCTGAGCCCCCCTCCGGCAGTTATAGTAAGAAGCGCCACGCCTAGAGCAAGGAACATTGTTCCTCTGAAGCGCACCATAGCTGACGTATTTGCTAGTTGCTAAAATACGCCTGTTGATCTCTGTGTCCATCTCAAACTCTTCTCCATCCTCAGCCATGCACTCTGCTATAGACCCCTTGCAGATTGATGATCTAGTGGCAGGAATCCACCCCAGATGGTGATCCCCACTTCCTTGAACGGTGGATGATAAGCCCATCGCCATCAAGATCAAGATTGTAGCTGAAATCAGGAACCAAGAACTCCGCTTTGCCATTTCTTGAAAAGGAATATAGACAAAGAAACTCTCTTTTCTAGCTAGGTTTTCTTGAATTAATGGTTTCTTGTGGGCTTCTTTTCTCTCTCTCCGCAGGGATGGTACTGTGTTGTGTGTGCCAATGAGCTTATAAGGTTTCTTTATTCTTTTCTCTTCATGAGGTAAGACAACAGCTAAGGGCTTGCCGAGTTGAAGACTTGTAAGTGGGCAACTATTCATTATTGACTTTGATGTTTCGTTGTATTTACCAAATTGCCATTGCTTTATCTAAGTTCATGGCAGCCACTAAGTTCTGCAAAGATTAAGGTAGGGCACCAGCCAGCCAGCCGGTCAGCATACAAACTAAAGGGTGTTTGGAATTTAGTTTGACTGTGTTTTTTAAAGATCTTTTTTAGGATTAAATTGTTTTTTTCTAAATTGTTTTGATTTCATTATATTAAAAATAAATATTTTAAAATATTGATTATTTTGATACATTTAAAAAATAAATTATCTCATGCAAAGCTTATATCACAAATTATATTATATGTATTAATCCGGATTAATTTAATTTATTTAAAAAAATCAAACAATATTAGTTTTAAAAAATAAGAAGTTAATAGATTTTAATTGGATAGTTGATAACTCAAGTTTTTAATCAAGTCTAGTTCGACTCACCCGTTAATTCTTTTATTTTTTTTGTGAAACCCACCCTACTATATTTGTGTTTAATATGACAGCTAATAGTTCTGGAAATCTGACCTTTATGTGTTTTTTTTCTTTTTTTTGCATCGTATATTCATATTCTATACAAATGAACTGCTTTTTATTCAGAAGAACAATTCAACTCATGATCTTGTGTGGCAAGAATGCAAGTTTGGAGCTTAATTTTAATATTGGGGAATATGCTGGGTCAGATTATAAATTTCAAATATAAATGGTTGAAAGATTAAAGATATGTTATCATTGTTTCACACTGCTGTGCTTAGAACTATGTTGGTCAATGATTAGGAGCCAAGGTCTAGTGCATCGACATTCATTGCTAATGGATTACAGCTAGCCAGATTATAAATTCTAGTTTGGTATAGAGAGAGATAGGGATGGAGGGAGGGAGGAGAAAGGGAAATTAAAACTAAGAGAAACTAGAGTCACGGAGTTGATTTAATTAAATTTTGGTGAAGTTAAAATAAAAATAATTAAAAAAATAAAGTAATATTATTTTTTAAAAAATATATATATATATATAAACTTGAGTTAATTCAATAACTTTTGTTTTGACATATTAATTCATTAATTGTTTTTTAATCAACTTATACCAAGTTTGTTTGACAACTATATTTTAAAAGTGAGTGTTTTTTAATGTGATACCGCCCCAATTATATATTTGGAAATGTAACTAATTAATGTATACTTTAACTAATTTAAAATGAGTTTCACTAGAAACTTTTTAAAAAAATATTAATTATAATTTATAATTATTAATACCAGCAAAACACCCTTGCTTATCGTTTCTTCAAGCTCGTTCAAGAATCTTAACCGAAACACGTTTTCTCTTTCCCACATGGCCCGGTTCCATTTTAGCTTACATCAAGTATCCGTTAACGTTACTTAAAGCGCGTTTTTCCTTCCCAGCAATCAACTTAACGTCAACTAACACTTGTTTAATGGATTTTTCTTCTGGACACTTCTGTTTTTTATACTTGTCTGGAATAATGGTAATTATTAATTTTTAAAGTATTTTTATTTGAAAATATATTAAAATAATATAAAATTATTTTGAAAAAAAATGTTTTTGATATTGAAATATCAAAATGATCCATAAGCATAAAAAAAACAAAAAATATTAAATTTTTCTAGAAACACAATTCATGTATTCATATTTAAACTTTTTAGATAGTTATTTTATCTTACAAGATCAACATGACAAATTCATTAATTCTATTAAGTGCTAATGATTCGCGTTTCAAACATATCAATTTAATTAATAAAAAAATAACATATTGTTTATTATCGATAATATATTTACTAGATGAGTGAATTTTTATATTTTTAAAACTAAAAGAATAAAGTGACATGTATTTTATATTTTTAACGTTCATGAGACAATAATCAAATATATTCTAAATAATTTTTATTTGTTAATTTAAGAAATTATAAGCACCACCAAAACAATAATAAGTAAACTTCACTGTTCATATAAATATCATACACAATTTAGTATATTATTTTAGTTGTTTTAAATCAAATTTTTGGCGAGTGGTCAGCATGTAAGGCAAGTCTGAGGTCATGAATTTGAGTTTGGAGGAGTATATACATTATTTTTTCTTAAACAAACACAAGTGATCTGTTATTTTTATTTATTTTTCCCAAGAAAAAAAAAGATATATAAGCTAGACATGCAAGTCTCCTTTAAGATTACTTGCCTGGTTCTTCTGAAGAAGCCCAGGCCAAGGAGATGAAACTTTTGTTTCTTTATTTTTTTTATAATTTCATTATTTATCCTAAAGTTTTTATTTAATTTTATTATTTAGTATTAATTTAATGATAGATTAATTTTTGGATTTTTTATCATAAAAAAATTAATCTTGTAAGTTCAAAACTCAAATTATAAATTTGATAAATAAATTAAATATTAATTAAAGAGTCAAGGTAGGATATTTTAACTGTTTTGTCTACACGTTTATTTAATGTAAGTTTTTTTATTTAATTTTATCGTTTAATGTTTGGGCTATGCTAAATTAATTTTTATATTTTTTATTGTATAAAAAAATAAAAAACTAATTAAATTAAATGGATTTTATAATTTAAACCACGAGGTTAATAAATTATTTAAATATCAATTAAATAGCTATATAAGAATTTTTTAAACTTAGACTGTTTTACTAGATAAATAACATTCCAAAAAGTTTTCAATGATATAAACTTTTTATGTTATAAGAAATTTGTGTCCAAAATGCAAAAAAAAATAGTTTTTTATATAAAAATATGAAGAAATAAATGCATGTGCTTGAGAGAATATTAGATTGCCAAACCATTTTCCACTACCATAAAGAATTTGTGCCAGCAATTCTACATGCAAAAGGGGCGCTGAAATGGGAAAATCAAAGGGAAAAAGAGACTTCACCACGCGCTGAAAGGGGAAAATCAAAGGGTAAGAGAGACTTCACCACCCGCCAAACAACATTCAAAATGAACAACGGCTACAGGAATTTTCCTAAACGGCGTTAACCAACAGGGTAAGCGCCGAAGTGGCGTGAACGAAGCCGTTAAATGCGGGGTCCTTTTACAGATCATGATAGACGGTGTTTACGCGTCCCAGAACTAACCTTTCAAATGCTAGCTGTCTCTTATCAACCTTTTCTATATATTTTTTTTATTTTATTTTTCATGTATATAATTCTTTTTTTAGAAATAAAAAAATCTTCCTTTTCTTGTTCATCGTCTTGTTTTCTTTCTTTCTTTCTTTTTTTACTCGTGCTAATCAAAACCATAAGAAAAATATTTTTAACCGGGTCAGCTATTTCTAATTTATTATTAATTATGAAAATTTTACTGAATAATATAGCCCAAACTAGTATATATCATTTTTATTGGTAATTTGTTATTACTTATAAAATTTCTATACTAGTAAAAACTAAGTTATTAAGTTATTGTTAACAGTAAATTTAATTAAATAATATTAATTTTATATTAGTAAAGGAGTTTCTAACTAAATCTCTCAAGAGATTTTTAATAAAAAAATTATTAAATTATTGTAAAACCTGACATATACAATGATAATTATTTCTTAAAAAATTAACTGTTTTGTAAATTTTACTAAGTATCATATATATATATATATATATTAATTTTGTATTTTTCTGAAAATCATTCCTCCAGCATAAAAAATTCTACCTAATATATAAGCTATATTTTAAAAACACTATAAATATTTTCTTTTTAAAATTTTATAAAAGTAACACTATTTTAAAATTTATCCATATTAATCCAATGACCCGCGAGTCGACACTATAGTTTGGGTATTTTATCGAGTTAGACCTTGGACTAAGTTTGATGGCCATGCTTTTACGGTGTACGTAAACAGTGAAGTGCAGTGATTGAGAACTTGATGCATTGCATAGAAATGGAAACTATTTAACTTCTCTGGAATCTGTGAAAGACTAAAGAACAAGGTTGTAAGATTCTTGAATTGAAGCTTCCCATCACAGCTGCAACATCTCAAGATCTGTTTCCGAAACTCACAAGTGCGTGGATATTCTGGAGAGTCCAGAAAAGCTACTTTGCGAAGAACATGAACAAGCAGTCTAATACAGCAATAACTGTGCCCCCCTCCCTGAGAATCTTCTCCTGTCAATCAAAAGAAAGAGGTTTTATGCACGCTTCATGCCCAAGTCATTTATAGCATAATCCTCTTAGAGCACAAGCTTGATATCACATTACAAGCACTGTCAAATCTTGCCAATCCAAGCTCAAATGCACTCTAATTGTTTTCAATCTACCCCAAGACATGAAAGTTAGAAATAGTTAACATAGTGAGCAAGTCTTCTCCTGTTCTAAGCTCAAAAGATCAAATCAAGGGCAATTTAATCGCCGCAAGATAACTCCATTTAAAATGACTGCTCAGACTTGCTTCATGAACATGATAAACAGAGGGGCCATCTAATTAATGCACTGTGATGGATGATGAGCCATGTGAGTTCTTGAACCATCCACCAATCCCATATGCCAGAGCAGTACCTTTGGAGATTGGCACCTTCCAATCTAAATGTCCTTTCAGACATCGTGTCCCAGAAATATCACGTAAACTAGAGGCTAATTGTATGGCTAAGAGGACATTAATGGTAGCCAACATATACTTTCAAGGTTGGATCGATCCAATAACTGTGCAGTTAGAAAGTCGGTGTCCAAAGAATAATACGGAGGAGCAACATCAGCACAGCACAAAACTAGCATGGACATGTCAAGCTCTTCAATGACTAGCACATGGAGCGGGATGGTGCTTTTATGCATAGTTAGACCTGAGTCAATCCAAGCTTCAATTTAAAAAACAAACCACTCATATGACACTAATATGATGTTGTTTTGATTAAAAAAAATAAAATCAAGTATTTTCACCGATCTAAGAAAAGTATTGGGACGTGGAATCCTTAGTTGCTATTGTTCTTCACAGTATGGCGGTGTTGACTGAATAGACATTTCGTTTCCATCATCATCATCCTCCTCGCCTGCTTCCACGTAGTTACTAGGATGGCATTGTGAAAAGACATGGCCATTAGTTTCTGACCTCTCTAAGAGCAGAAGATTGAAATTTTTTATGTTAATAGCAGAGGGATATCTTCATAAGATTAGCCCGACAGAAGACTACTACCAACCTTGGGCTTCTTCTGGATCTTTTTCCATAGGATGGCATCTAAAGTATCGAGTCAAGGAATTGCAGTTCAAATCATCAATTAGATGGCAGAATTAACGCAAAAGACCTATTACAGACATTATAGCAGTAACGTTAGTAGCATTCAAGTGATTATGTTAGAGGCTGAACCATGCATCTGAACTCTATCCAGCTCTCAATGTAGCCTGTGGCCTGTAAGACTTGGGACATGCTCTCGCTAAACACATGTAAGAGAAAGATGTAAGGTCCCATCGCTAGCAATTCAAGAAACGAGAGCTCTAAGAACCACCAGACCAGAAAAGGTAACATAATGAAACAAACAGTAACAGTTAGCATACGGCCTGAGATCCGCAGCAACATTTTCTCCAGCAGACGTGTCTTTCGATATTAGCATTGTGCTGATCCTTTGGATTCCCCTCTGTTCATTAGCATTGAAATCTCTTTCTGCTTGTCTTGCTTCAGCTCCACTGCCACTTCTTGCTGCACTTACTGTGTGAAGTCAAACGACGTAAGATTTTCAGGCGCATATATAAGGTTACAATTAAACTTTGAACAATTACCCGAAAGTGTAGACCAAATTCTGGTGTGATCGGATGGTTGTTCAGAAACATTCACTCTACATCGTTGCCCTCGAGACCATGTCCCATCTCTAGCCTTACCATGCGTCGAGGTAGCCAGATGCGGAGGTTCTGATGGATTTCCTTCACGGAGCTGTGATATGAGCCTGTTTACCAACACACGGTTTTTCCATGAACTGCATCTCATTTTAAATGATCGTACGTAATACTGAATCCCTAATGGTATGAACAAAAAAACAAGTATTGCTGATGCAATGTGCATTAAAGATGTGATACAGATGTGTGAGTCCAAATTTGACGCAGCTGAAGCCAACGAGTATAAGAATAAAAGAATAAGGAAGACTGTACCTTCAGTAAACAGGACCAGGAACAAGTATTCGTCAACTTGAGCACATGACACAAATGTTATGAAAACTCGAACCAGGACCTCTACACCTTCAGTTCCTACACACCAAATATTGTCACATCCACAGAGTCTCCATTGGGAGTATACCGGGCAAATTCTTCAGCTGGTTCTATCCACAGCCGAGTGTGCATTGAAGAACATTGTCTGCAGTTGAAATTTGAAGCATGAATGTCCTGCTTGAAATAGGTCAAGGATCAAAAATAAAAAAATGAAAAAAATCACGAGTACTCACCCTCATTGGTCTTTATAACTTCTCAGGTCAACTGTTTTCCCTCCTGTTTCACTATCAGTATCAGAAGCCATGGAAGCAGGTTCTGTTGCAATGACAGTGATCACATGTAGCCATGGCTGAAAATTAGCTAGTAGCCTGTTGAGATCACGGGGTCTCACAGGTAATTAAGCTGCATGGATGTCTCTTCCTGTCAAGAGATAGAAGCTGGGCGTCGGGCTCAACATTGCCAGTAACGTCTAGCAATCATATCTCTTACTCCTATCACTGAAAATCTCAGGCACCAAACACAATTCAATGAACATATAGTAAATAAGTTGTTCCATCATCGCTACATTACCTTCTTTGCTCCCAGAATTCACATCATGACTAGACATCGAGTAATCTCACCAACTCACTATAACCTTGACTCAGAATCAACCTTCTTATGGAGGGTGTTAACAGAAAGTTTAGCCATTGGTTCAGATTGTTGACTTCAATCCAGGTTGCAAACTGTGTGGTGGTGTGACAGAGATTCACTTGCATCTATTCTCAGCTTGTCGTAAAGCTCGTGGAGGTCGCGTGGGTTGAAGCACCATTGCATGGTTATTCATAATTCAAGGCTTCAATTTCCCTCGATTTTTCTTCGTTCGTGAGGAAACTTCTCAAAGAATAATGCTAGTTTACTCAAATCCATGGGCAAAATTATCGTAAAATTAGCATTAACTCATATTCTCAAACATACATGAAGGAAAAATTACCGCACACTTTCTATTAGCTTCCTATTTCCAAAAAAAATAATAAATAAATAAATTAAGGAGTGTATTGATATTGTATGAAAAATCAAATTATCGCCCTCCAAAAAAATAAAATAAAATTATATTTTAAAAAATATCGAAAATAAATATATAGAAGCTAGAAGGTCATAAATATTACATAGATGAGCATAATTATTAAATATAATCTGAAATTTGACATATAAAACTCAAATCATGAATTAATCAGATTAATTGTATCTATCCCATTATTTTTCTTAAATAAAATTCGTCATTTTAGATAAAAAAATTTAAAAAATCATTAAAATTGACTCAACCTACTCAATTAAATCCATTCAATTTGTCCAGATCAATTTCTTACTGGTTGAAAAACAATCCCGGTCTGAGCAGGGTCCGGGTTGAGGGTCTTTGTGTCAACCAGCCGGGTTCAATATTTTATGCAAACAAAAGGCCATGAGAAACGGCAACGTCTTAAGTCAAGACTCTAGAGGGGTATTTCCGTCCATATATCCCCACACCAATATTCTAGGGTTTTTGCAGGCATATATAAAAACCGCAAAGCAAGCTATCATCTCCTCCTCAGCTTACCGTAGCAGTTGCAGCCTCTCCTCTTCCTGGTACTCTCTCCCTTCCTTTTCTCTTTCAATAACTGCGAGGCGCACAAGTTTTCTTAACAAGAGTTGTTTGTAAAATCAGGTGATCAACTTTAACTGTATTTTTGGGTAGCAAAACAAGACAGTCAAGATGCAGAACGAGGAGGGACAAAACATGGATCTTTACATCCCCAGGAAATGGTATTTTAACTTCCTTTATATTTCTCGTCTTGGGTTAGTTTTGTTCAGATTAAGAATCCCAGTTAAGGTTTTGTTGTGTACTTGTGTTGTTCTTGCAGCTCTGCCACCAACAGGCTTATTACCTCTAAGGACCATGCGTCTGTTCAGATTAACATTGGTCACTTGGATGCTAGTGGTCATTACACTGGCCAGTTCACCACTTTTGCTCTCTGTGGTTTCGTTCGTGCCCAGGTACTTCTGTCTTGCTCTCAGAATTAGAACTCACTTGTTTTGGCTTGTGATTTTTTATGTGTTCTGTGATAAAATGTAGGTTGTTTATTATCTGCTATCGTTGTTGTTGATAACATAGTTTCAAGTTAATAGCTGGCAGTAAGTGTGGTTGTGTATTTTTGATTTAGTATTTGTCGAGAAGGGTTCCAATTAATGTTGAGTGGTTTCGTTTTGACCCATGTAGATGGGGTTTTAGTTCTGTTAGGACATGTATTTTTGTCATGGAATTCATTGGTCACTGATAGTCTGATGCCTTTATGATGTAATGTTGTTTTAGTTCTCTCCAAATGTTTTTTTCCTTGCTGTCATCAGATTTATCTTTCTAATTATATTTATCTATCTTGATGTATTTCAGGGTTTTTGGGCTTGTTAAATATTTTTTTTATTTTCCTTTTGTTGAGCGGGGATTTTTTTTTCCTATGCTTTGCCCAATGATGCACAATACAAACTGTGTTGAACGGTTGCAAATGTACTATTCATCGCTGGCCTTCACTCACCACCACCTCCACCTCCTCCTCCACTATTCATCTACTCCACACGTTCACACATTGTGGTGATGTGTGAAGGCCTTTGATGAATCCTGTTTGCGATAAATCGTGTATGATTTTCAGAAGCTATGAGATCTGAGGGCATTCTAACACTTAATTTCATTTTTTTTTTTGAAAAAACTATGTATATTATATGGAAGTGTTATTGCAGCTAATCCTTTTTCACAATCATCCTTGGTGCTATTGGATTGTGAAAGCTTTTATACCTATGCAGAATTTAGGATGCATATTACTGTCATGGATTTTTTGGGTTAAAATCTAGTTTAGGGAAGGGTTAATGATCCCTGTTAGAGGCTCTGTTTAGGAAGACTTTATGCTGTATATTATGAAATGCTGAATCCTTTTTGGTCGTGTCTCACATGCTGTTTCTTTCACTTTTTCTCTAATAGCTTAACAGTTCACACTTTGTTGTTCTCTTACTGTTCTTACTTTTGAACAGTATAATTTGGTCATTGTTGCTACATTAATTTTATGTATGCAATAACATTTATCTATCTATTTTGAAAATGGTTTTAGCGTTCTAGTATATTCTAGTAAACAAAATTTGATTTTGTTTTTGGCCGGGATCCTGTTTTATTATTCTTTGCTTGGCCCAAGGATGCACAACATAAACCATGTTGAATTGTTGCAAATGGGCTGTTCATTGCTAGCATTCACTCACTACCACTTTTACTGCCACCTCCACCACCTCCTCCCTTTCACACAGATTGATATGTTTTGGCAGTGTGAAGGTTTTTGATGAGGGCCATAAGTAATAAATTGCGAATGATTTTCACAAGCTATGAGATCTGAGGGCTTTTAAACATTTATTATAAATAATGAACAATATTTAGGATACCGAGTTGTGCTGGAAAAATTTGATATGCAGGCATTTGTGTTACACCGTCCAAGTCAGATGGCTCAATTTTTCATCATTCATATAGGAGTTGCTATAATTAGCTTCTTTTTAACATTAGAATGATGGAGATCTATATTGGATAGAAAGGCTTGTTTTGGCCTGGTTCTTGGTGAATGTGTTACCCTTTTGGATGCATTTCATTCACTCACTACTTAGTTCCTTTTTGAGTAACCACGTTAGGGTTTCCCTGGACTTCATTAACGTAAGACAGGATGAGTTTCCTTGATCATACCCTCACTTGTTGATATACTGCTGTGTTCCCTAGCTCCTTCTACGCGTTTAAGATATTTCACTGCCTCCGTGCCCATCTGACATGGGATTTTATACATATTTCCAGGGTGATGCTGACAGTGCCGTGGACAGGCTTTGGCAAAAGAAGAAGACTGAACTCCGCCAGCAGTAACTGCGTTAGAGAATACCTTTTTTTTTGTCTTAAACATTGTTAGTGCAAGAAGAGTGGTGTGATAGCAGTGACAACTGCTCTCATTTTCGTGAAACCATGTTTAATTTAGTTCTCTGCCTGAACAAGTTTGTCTTTTAGCTTGATTATATTTTGAACTCTTCCTAGATCCAAGATTTTAAATTTTGGTTGCCATCAAGTTTTTTGCTAGTTTGAACGTCTTGAACTCCAAGCGAGGTGGGGTTATCTCAATCGCATCCAAGGCCTTGTTTGCTACTGCCTCTAATTTAGACATCCCTGTTATTTACAAATAGAGGTCAAATTATTTAGGTTCAATGTTAGATTTTATTCTTGAATTCTCGAGGTGGTGTTAAGATAAGGTTTGAAACACTATAATATGATTTGTAACATTTTTAAATCATTATTTATTCGACAAATTGAGTATTGGTGTCAAATTCAAGTGTTAAGATCTACGATCAAAAGCTGATATTTTAAGTTTTTTACAAATAAAAACGATTAAAATAAAGAAACTTGATTTTTTTAACAAATAAAAATTATTAGAAATGTAGAAAAAGCGAGCTCTGAAGTAGCTGGACATTTTTCTCCTTCTGAATTATGGCTGTTCGGTTTTTGTGTTTTCTATTTTTAATTATGAAAAGGTCAATTTTAAAAAATAAGGTGTTTATAAAATGTGGACTAATGATTTTCTTTTATGTTAAATCTTAATAGATTGATAGCTGGAACTTTATTTTACCATAATTGAAATAATTTAAGCATAAAGCATGTTATTAAATAATATGATGATGAATTAGAACTTATTATGGATTTTCGAGAACTTGGAATTATTGGCCCTTAACCCATAGAATAAATCTGAATTGACAGATCATAATCTATCTCTGGCCGGTTTTTTTTAAAAAAGTTTTTAAATAATTTGATGCATTAGATTTTAATTAAATTAAAGTTTTTATTTTTTATAATAATAATTACTTTTTAAGATATTTTTTTCTCTAAAAATATATATAAATGATATCCTTTTATTTTTCAAATTATTTTAAAAAACATTTATTATTATTTTAAAATAAAAGGAGATTCCTACAATGTGTTTGAGAATATAATAATGATATTTTTATATTAAAATAATAAGTTTTATTTTTAAATAAATAATTTTTATATAAAAAATATTTTAAAGTAAAAAGTAAAGAATTATCATATATTTTTAAAGAACCTTTTTAAAATGTAAAAAGAAGCAATTAATAGCTGCGTTTTGATCACTTGTGCTTTGACTTGTCTGTTTTGTTTGCGTTTTCTTGTCAAGTTTTTGTAGATGCAAAATTCCCCTGCATTGATTGACAGGTTGTTCCCAGAAAAGCCACAATTACTCTACTGCAGGGGCTGGCTACAGTCTTGGCTTGACTGCTCCTCTCCACAACCATCCTTTGTTGTCAGTTTTATGGAATTTTATTTAGCAGATTTAGAAGCATAGTTATAGTTATTTTTTAATATTATTTTATTTAAAAATATATTAAAAATATATTATTTTTAGTTTTTAAAAAAATATTTTTTACATCACCATATTAAAATAATTTAAAAAAGTAAAAAAATAATTTAAATCAAAAAATAAAAAAAATAATTTTTTTAAAATACTTTAAAAACATGAAAACAAATAAAATATCCATTTCATTGCTACATCTCATTTTTCCGGCTTTAGAGACACTTTTCTTCCTCGAGTTAAGCTCTGCCCTCTTATAAATGTAAGAGGCAAAGAAGTTATTGCTGCTCTGCAAATAAGTTT